AGTGGAATTTGAAGATGTTGGGATCCTTTCCAAGCCATTTCACCTAACACCATTCTTGAGCTTGGACAATAGTCTTGTGCACTTGCTCATTCAAGATCATGTCGGCCTTTAGCATAATTACCACCTCATTTATGTGACCTTCAGGAGCAGCAAGATGTCCACCATTTCCACCACCAAGATCTGCCCCACCACCTATAGCACCAGGTGCCTCATTTCTGCCACCAAGTTCTTTTCCACCACCTATGGCACTACCACCAGTAGCTTCTTCTACATTTCCATGCTCTTTAGAACCATCTGGTTCATACATGCTAACACCTGGATCAGGATCAACCATTGCTTGGATCTGGACACCATTGCTCCTACCATGGTCTTCCTCTGAAACAGTGCCTTGAACTTGTGAGGTGCCCCTAGTGAATCTAGCACAACGATCTAGTCGTTTTCCTGGAGAACGGGTCCATTGAGGTTGACCGGCATGCTTCTTTTGTTGTAGCATGATTATATGTCTGCATGAAAATGACAAATAAACTTGAGTAAACATTAAAAAAAAGTTTTGAAGAAAAATAGAAGCAATTTCCTTGGTGCTGGGAAGATTGGTTCATTGCCAAACCAATCTTCCAGCACTATGGGAACAGAAAAAAAAAGAAAAAAAGAAGTAGCTCCCTTGGTGCTGAGAAGATCCGTTTGTTGCTGAATCAATTTTCCAGTGCTAAGGGAACAAAATAAAAATAAAAAGAAGTAGCTCCCTTGGCGTTGGGAAGATTGGTTCGGTAGCAAACCAATCTTCCAGTGCCAAGAAAACTAAAAAAGAAAGAAAAAGAACAACTCCCTTAGCACTGAAAAGATCGATTCAGTGGTAAATCAATTTTCTAGTGCTAAAGGAACAAAAAAAAAAGAATAAAAGAAGTAGTTCCCTTGGCACTGGAAGATCAGTTTGTTGCCGAACCGATCTTCTTAGTGCCAAGGGAACAAAAAAAAGAAAAAAAAGAAGTAATTCCCTTGGCATTGGGAAGATTGGTTTGTCACCGAATTGATCTTCTTAGCGCCAATGGAATGACAAGAAAAAAAAAAACCTAGAATCTGATGTGTTGGGAAGATCGATTCACTACTAAACCAATCATTCCAATGCAAAGTAGCCATGAGGTGTAAGTTGCTCACGAACTAGGAGAAAAAGATGGGGAGATAAAAGAGCAACAAAGAGAAGCATACCTTGATTGAGGAGTGTCTTTCTAGTGTCTTAAAGAGCATCTAGCGTCCTGATTGAAAAGTATCTTGAAGCACATTGTGAGATTCAAGTGTTTTTCTCTCACCCTTCCTTGTTCAAACCCTAGTAGTAAAACCTTAAAAATTAACGATCATGATCAATAGTCACGATCAATGGTCATGATTTTCATTCTCTTTAATGGCAATTTCTTTCTAGATTCTAGTGATATGTCAATTTTTTAACAGCACTATAAACATAGATTTCACATGTTCTTTCTAAGGAGACAATCATTCAATGCTTTAGATATTAATTATATAATTGATTATGAGAGGAATAATACTGTCGAAATGAATGGGGTTATGAGTGAGAGGTGTTGATTAATCACAAGAGTTGTAGCATTAATTGCTTATTCTCACTCTCATCTCCATGCTCTTTTCCTTTCGTGTGCAGTCTTTTTGACGTGAACCAACCTTTTCGAACTTGACTCTCTCTCACTTATCACAAAAGAATGAAATTCTTTTGAAGGGAAAAGAGCATGGAGATGAGAGTGAGAACAAGCAATTAATGCTACAACTCTCATGATTAATCAGCACCTCTCATTTATAACCCCATTCATTTCGACAGTATTATTCCTCTCACAATCAATTATACAATTAATATGGGTGGCTCTACATTCTCATATATCTTTAGATTCTAAATGGTTGAATATTTTGTTAAAATATTTAACTTGTCCTTTGCAAGGACATAGCTAATTAAAGCTCACAATATAGAAGAATATCTTTGTTATTTCTTGTCAGTTTCTCCCTAAATTTTTTCTAAATGCTTGAGTAAGGAGAAGATATGAGAGAATTCTACTTGAAGTTTGATCAAGAGCCTCCAATTGTTTTCTCTAAGAGTGTTATAGAAGAGAGTTTCCTCTGCAGAAGATTCAAGTTGAAGCCAGGATCTAATTTGGTGAATGTATGTCGGGATAAGGGTAATTAGATAGAAAAATCCATTCTTCTCGACTGTGGTGTGGGAGAGAATGGGATTCAATAGGATCTTGATAGATGTACAAGTCAGGAGATTTTAGTTACAGAATCTCCGAAGCAAGCAGAGGAGACTACGTTAGTTTCACAGCCAACTATGCAAAGAGTGAAGGATGAAGTTGTTATTCTCTCCAGTGATGAAAGTGAAGAAGATGAGCTTCCTAACATAGCTTCCCAAACAAGTAGGTGTGTTCTTTCTAAACCAGTTTTTGAAGCAGTGGATAAGGCATTTTAGCAATTTCAATTATTACAGTTGGAATTGAAGGAGTTCTAGTACATAAAAGGTGAGGAGCTTCCATCTTCCTATAATGGGCATATATTCTTCGAATTTCAAGTTTGTCAAGCAGGAAGAGGGGCATGGAGATGCGTCTTGATCCACATAATTGGTGTAGAGTAAAGACAACCCACTTCTCCCATTTTGACAAATCTGTGTCCATAGTCCATTGTGGTGGATAGCTTCAGTGTATCACTGAGAAATGCATTTCTAATCATGGCAAGAATATATGTTTCTTTAAAGGCTCAACAATCAATCCTTCTAAGCGTGATGAGGTTGTTACAGGGTTTAGATGTTGCAAATGTGGGGCAACACCTATGGACAGCAGTGCATGTTAGATACGACCAACATGCAATAGAAGGAATCTACCGTGATTCTTTTCACAATTTAAAAGCTGCTGTTACTACAGAGGCTGCAGCAGTACCATGTTTCTAGGGCTGTCAAGATCTAGCTGTAAAGGGCTGCCAGTCAAGCTGGATTTATTGTTATGGGACTAATGTTACTTATACAAATTGGATCTATAGCTCAATTATCTCGAAGCCAAATTCTGTGCCAAAGGAGTGGCTAGTTGAGTGAAGGTGCAATCTTTTGAAAGAAAAGATTGAAAGTCTGGAGAGAGTTGGTTTCAAGCTGAAAACTTCCTCAAATATTGCTATTGATACTACTATGCCACCAATATTAACACTAAACCAGCATACACGACCAACTAGAAATGGGAAGGCTATACAATATAGGTCTTCTATTTCGAAAAGTGCATAAGAGAATATCAAGCTGGCAAAAGCATTGAAATGCACAATCACAAGGATAAATTACATCAGTGCCATGGCTAAAGAGTTTGTTGTTGTGACTGAGTCGTCAAAGGGTACGAGCTACACTATTAAAATCTATGAAAATCCATCCTGTACCTGTCCAGATTTTACACAAAGGGAGAACATGGGAAAGGTATATTTAGCCTATAAGCAAATCTATTACATTTTTATGCAGGAATTAAACCAAGATCCTAAGGTTGACCATCACATCCATTAGGCAAGCCTTACAATTGTAGAGCTTTAGAAGTGTTTTTAAATTGCTTTTAGTGTTCGGATCTATATTTATATTTGTATTTTATTGGTTGAATTACTTGGAAATATAGATTAAATCAAAATTTGAAAAATGAAAAGATATTGGTTCAGGACAAACCAATGTTTTCCTTGTGTTTGAGAAGTCGTGAGCTCATGAGCTCAAAATCTACCCAAGCTCTCCTACCGTCGTGGCAGTAAGAAAAAGAATATCCAAAAGGATTAGCTGACAGGTAACTTTCGATACCTACAATTACATTTGCAACAACATCATTAGTGATCAAAATTCAAAGTTCACTAATGGATTTTGGAAGAGCTTTGCAAAGGTTATGCAAGTGACTTTGAAACTTTTGGGTGGAGATCATCCTTAGACAAATAAGTAAACCAAATTTATGAATCAGGTGGTGGAGGATATGTTATATTGTAGTATTAGTCAAAGGTAGGGATAATGGGGTTTATATCTTCTCATTGGTATAATTTTCCTACAATAATTGCCAATACAATGGAACCAAGTTAAATCTTTATTTTGCCATATTTGAAAGGCATCCCTAAACAGCAATGGTGTTGGAGATTATATTTGAATAAGGATGTTCAAAATAAACTTGATTCTGAGGCAACTAATTTGATATAAAATATATGATCTTGTATTCAAAGTCATCCTTGAACAACAATAGAGTTGGAATTGTATTTGAGTAAGGATGTTCAAAATAAACTTGATTTTGAAGCAACTAATCTGATATAAGATAGATGATTTTGTCTTCGTGCCATCAAATTAGCAACATAACACTTTAGTGCCTTTGTGGAATGGGAAGAGTGATAAACTTTCTCATTGATATGCTGAATATTCTTGCAAAATATTCTTACCCTATTCATTAACCACAAGAATCGAACTAAGTGTTAAAATCCCATCCCTTACACCCTAAATCAACTAACTAAAAGGATGATCATTTTATTGCAAAGCCCTTTCTTTATTTTATTATCCTAACCTAGTAATTCCTTAATATTGTTATATAATAGTTTATTATGTCTATCAAACACCCTTGTTATCATGTCCCATTGTTTTTGAAACTCAAAACATTTCTTAAACTTTTAAGGTGAAAGGTGGATAAAAAAAGTAAAGTTTTCAAAAGGAAAAAAGAAGGTGCTGTTGGAGTGGGGGAAATTTGAGATTATAGTGTCAAGAAATTGCTAGTGACTTCTATTTAGCATGGAAGAGTGCTGCTCATTGTAGAATGGAAGTAAGTTGGAAATGTGTTACTACTTGAGTTATAGGATGCATATAATGTGGGTTGTAAAGGGTGTTAAACAGAACCTTTCAAAAGAAGTGGCATAGTCAATACTTGCCACGAGAACAGAAAGTGCTGACGTGGCAATAGGTCGATCTTCTTTTGTTTTTTTGCATGATATCATCCTCTGATTGAGATCTTGTGACGAGCCGGGTCATCCCTTTCTCGCAATCTAGGGTTCTTGTCGTGCCATTTACAAGCTCTTCTAGGTTTTGGTAGCACGCCAGAAGGATCTTGCAAGAAATTGGTCTAGAGGGATTCTTTTTTTTTTTTTTTGCGAGGAATGCTTTTTTTCTTTGAGAAACTTACTACAGCTTGTTTTTTCTTAGACCGCTACACCGTGCTAGGGTTTTGGGCGAGATGGAGATGAGCGAGGAGCTCGGTATGATCTAGGCGTCACGAATTATCTATAACAGTTTCTGTGTGTCAGATCCTTTTCTCGCTGCCTACGGCCGGGAGGTAAAGCATGCCAGGCTCCAGGACCGCTGCCTCTACATCCCGTCTGGCTTCTTGGGCCGTTACAACCTGTCCAAGCTCTGGGTCCATCCAAACTACCTTTTCATGGATCAGTTCATTGCGGAGAAGTGGAGCAGGGTCGTGAATGAGAGGAAAGGGTTGAAGAACTTCCACATCGTCTCAACGCCAGGTATCGGCAAGACGTTCTATGGCCACTACTTCTTTCACAGTAGAGCTCAGGAAGGACAGAAAGTAGTGTGGAGGACCGAAGATCCAGAGTACTTCTTCTTCGACTTCTCGCTGGACGATCCTCTGGTGCTGCAATCGAACTGGTATACTCGACCGCGGGGGTGGGACATGACGAGCGTCTGGCTCATCGTCGACGGGGGCTCGAGGGGAATAAGTCACCTGGGGCCTCTCATCCAGTGCGTCTCGCCAGATCGCACTGGCTACTACGAGTTCTCCAAGGACCATGGCTATATATGCCGCCTGGGAGCGTGGTCTCTCGAGGAGGCGCAGCAGTGCAACGAGGAGCTTGAGCTGGGAATGACAGACGAGGAAATCGGTGTCCGCTTTTACTACTGTGGCGGGCTACCAAGGCTTCTCTTCAACACGGAGAAGTTCTCGGTGGCCGCGCTCCAAGGGTTGGTGCACGAGGCAGCTGCCAGGGTGGAGAGCTGGAGAAATGTGCTCCACTGCACACTCAACTCGGACAAGGACCCCGCTGTTTCTGATATTCTGCTCCACTACCGTCTTACGACTGACAGATTCGACTCGAACATACACCTGGTGTTTGGCTCGGACTGCATTCAGAAGCTTGCTTTTGAAAGGTTTGAGGAGCAGGGGTTTCAGGCTTTCCGTGACTTTTTCGACTTATGCCGGGGATATCCGGTTGCAAACACCTTGGCGGGCAAAATATACCAGCAGCACGTCCACAAGGTACTTGCCACTGGAGGTGACGAGTTTGATCTTCGATCCTTGGAAGAGGAAGGTGACGGCGTCGAACTCTTCCGTCGGAGGCCGACGTCAGTGAAGCGGCTGCGCGAGTGGAAAGTGTTCGTAAAGAAGCGGTGCGTGGGGTCTGGTTTCAACGTTTACTCCAAGGACGTGAGTCCTGCGGACGCTTATCGTGCAGGGGCGGAGGAATCACGGGGCCTTGCAGGCTTGCCTGACAATTGCTTCGTGGAGCCTTACGCGTCAAACGAGAAATCTTTCGACTCGTTGGTCACTCCGGACGTAATTCTCCAGGTTACAACGTCAGCCACGCATCCGGTCTATTGGTCCAAGATCCACGAGCTCGTTCACGGGTTGGATGAGTTGCATGACAAGCTCAAGCTGGTGCGTCCCAAGCAGTACAAACTCATCTACGTCGTTCCCGAGCCTAGCTTTGAGGGATACACGTACCAGGGCTTCAAGAAAGACGATGGATCCATGTATCAGAGAGATGTTGCCGGGATGGACAGGGTTCATCAGTATGTGATGACTGTTCCATGGAGTGCTCTTCAAAAGTGACTAAAACAGAAATCCGGTGGCTCTTGTTACAAACGAATCAAAGTTTAGTCTGCTCGCGTTATCTTTGCTAAGAACTTCATACTAAAGATCTGCAGGAGTGAGCCAGAAGTTACCACTTACAAGGCCATTGGACTGGCTCTCAACAAAACGAAACTGCGATTCATCTGTGAGCCAACACAACAATCGAACAATGATCTAAAAACCTCTTTTTTCTTCCAATGCCGCGCGATGTTGTTGCGATTGAATCCAGAGCTCAAGGAGCCACCACCAGTAGCAGCGAGAAAGACCCACGCGCTGGATCCCAAGCGCGTCCACTTCTTCAAGTCCATGCTCAAGCTCCACGGTGACGCCAAGAACCTGGACGCCGGGCGAGCGGTCCACCTCCAGATGATCACCAGCGGCTACCACCGCGACCGCTACCTCTGCAACCTCCTCATCCAGATGTATGGCCGCTGCCGCAGCGTCCACGACGCCATCGCCGTCTTCCACACCGTGAGCCGCAAGAACGTCTTCACCTGGACCATCCTCATCGTCGCTCACACCCACAACGGCCTCTTCTTCGAGGCCGTGGAGCTCTTCCGCGAGATGGACGTCCACGGCGTCCAGTCCGACGAGTTCACCTTCTCCGCCATCCTGGAAGCCTGCTCCAACCTCGGCCTCGCCTTCCTCTCGCTCGGCAAGACCATCCACTCGAGAATCCACCAGCAGGGCCTCAAACTCACGTCCGTCCTGGCGACTTCGCTCATCAGCATGTATGGCCGGTGTGGCTGCGTCAACCCGGCCGTGAAGATCTTCCACAGCCTCGAGAACCCGACGGTGATATGCTCCACTGCCATGATCGACGCGTATGCCCAGAACGGGCATATCGAACAGGCTGCGGAGATCTTCGAGAGAATGCAGCTCCAAGGCCTGGATCCCGACTTGATCGCCTGGACTGCGATGATGACGGCGTATAACCAGCTCGGGCATGCCAGAGAGGCGCTGCTTCTCTTCCGGAAGATGGACCTCCAAGGTCTCGAGCCGGACAGGTTTGCATTCGTCGCTGCTATTGATGCTTGCTCTAGCATCCCGTCACTGGAGCAAGGCACTGTCCTCCACTCTCGCTTGCTAGCCTCGTGGGTGGAATGCGATGGTGTCGTCGGGAACGCGCTGCTAAACTTCTACGCCAAGGCGGGGCTTGTTCACGAGTCGAGGAGCCTCTTCTCGAGCATGAAAGTGAAGAACGTCGTTGTCCTTGGAACTAGCCTCGTCAACATGTACAGCAAATGTGGAAGAAGCGGAAGAAGTCTTCAAGAGGATGCCCACGAAAGATAAAATCTCGTGGACTGCCATGGTGACTGCCTACGCTCAAAACCATGGGAGAAGCGACGGCTCCCGGTGTGAGCTTGCTGCTACTGCCAGCACTTGTTAATCGTTGAGATGTTTCACAATGGCTTTCTGTATCATAGGCCTCCCGCAACGCTGTTGTAAAGTGATGGTGCTCGCCGTCCTTCTACACGTGAATGTGATAAGCCGATTTCTGTTGTCCAGAAAATGCCAATTAGATCTAAATTGAAAGGAGAGAAAACTGCATACCTGCAGATAATAACCATAGCTTATAGTGGAGGAAATGCCATTGATGTCGACAGTTATGTCACAGCCAGAACTAGCAACTCTTTTAGCTGTGTTTGACACAAGATGAATCTTCCGCAAACTGCACAATATGACTCCACTTGGGGAATAGGCAAAAGGGAAAACAATGCGTCTACCTTTACTAAGAACTCGCTGTCACTTGAATAAGTGACATCTAAGCTCATCGGTTCGCATGAGAGACTCTCGGACTCAGGCATCCAGTCTAACGAGATCTTCCTGGTATAAGGATTGTTGACTCGAAAACCAGAAGTTGTATGCCATGGGCCTCCAGTTCTCGATTCTGCACTGGAAATCGTAAATGCTGGCTATCTAAAAACTGCGAGTCGATCTTACCTGGTCGTCGAAAACTCTCCCTTACACATACGCCCACGGCCGCTAAAGCAGCGAAAGATTTTACATCTCGCTTGGCTCTTTCGGAAAAATCTAGTGGCTGTGTTTCCAGGTCCCCAGCCCTGAAAGCCGGATGTTTTGCAAGCTTTTTTAAAAAGTGGATGTTAGTTGGAAGTCCAGCAACCTGGCGAATGCAATGTTAGTACTCAACAATAATTACAAAAAAAAAGAGCAAACCAACTTGCCTGAAAATTCGAGAGGCAATTATGCAGCTTCGCCAACGCCATATCGCGATCACTACCCCATACGACCAGCTTGGCTATCATAGGATCGTAGTGGACGCTTACAGCATCACTTTGCTCTACACCCGTCTCAATTCTCACTGCATTGACAAGATAAACTGCTTAGTATTCTTCAAGTTTGACACGAGTTACCAGTGGATGAAGCGGGAGGTGGATTATAATGGTAAAGAACTCCAGCAGCAGGTAGAAAACCTCTTGGAACGTTTTCAGCATAGACCCGAGCCTCAAACGCATGACCTGCTTAGCTGCGATAATCTTCGGGAATAAGCGGTATACTCTTTTGCTCAAGTGGAAGGCTTTCGCCATTTGCGACACGAATTTGCCATTCCACCAAGTCTTGACGCGTCACCATTTCGGTGACAGGGTGCTCAACCTGACCACAAGTTTAATTCAGCATATACAGAAACTAGTGGAAGTCCGTCCTTACTTGCAAACGTGTGTTCATCTCCATAAAGAAAAAATCTCCTGTTGCAGTGTCGACAATAAACTCGACAGGTAATTCACAGCCTTCGATAGAAAAGAAATTTAGATTTGATAGCAGCAAATCACAAAAGAGGATACCTTAGCCGCATTGACTGCTGCTTGTCCTATTGAGTTGCGAAAGTCGTCTGACATGAGCGGCTGGAATATTAAAAAAAAAAACATGGTGAAACAGCAAACAGCCTGAAATATTGTCCTACCGCTGGTGCTTCCTCTATAATTTTCTGGTGGCGCCTCTGAACGCTACAGTCCCGTTCAAACAAATGAACAACGTTTCCAAAGCGGTCGCCAAAGATCTGTCAGCAAGTCTGTGATAAATTTCCAGATTGCAGAAAATCTCCCACCTGGACTTCTATGTGTCGAGGCTGTGCGATATACTTCTCAATCAAGACCCTGGTGTCGCCAAACGCAGCAGCAGACTCACGTAGAGCGCTTCTCAAACTGTCCAGAAACTCGTCTCTGCTGTGGACAATCCTCATGCCCTGAACCAAAACTTTACAAGAGAAATTAGTAGTGTCGCCAACATGAAACAAAATACCAAAAAGAAAGCAAAAAACCAACCTTTCCTCCGCCACCAAGAACAGGCTTGATCAGAACGGGATAGCCAATCCGATCAGCCTCAGATTGCAGCAGCTCGTGGCTCTGATCATCCCCGTGGTATCCAGGAACAACAGGAACATTAGCACCGCTCATAAGCTTTTTGGAGGCACTAAGGAGTTCCAAGATAGTTCTTATGGCTGGTTCTTTGAAGAAAAATGGAGATGGCGTACCTTTTGTCTCCCATCAAGCTAATCGCAGCTGCCGAAGGGCCAATGAATGTGATCCCAGACTCGTGGCAAGCCTGCGCAAACTTCGAATTTTCTGATAGAAATCCATACCCGGGATGGATTGCCTGAGAAGAAGTTGGATATGTATGGGTTGAGAAGAAAAGAAATGAAAGCTTACATCGGCTCCAGTGCGACGAGCAGCGTCGAGGATGGAAGTAGTGGACAAGTAGCTGAGCTGCGCAGAGGCGGGGCCGATAAACACTGCTTCATCGGCTCGACGGACGTGTAGCGAGTTTCGATCGGCATCACTGTAAACCGCCACCGTTTTTAATCCCAAGCTACGCGCGGTCTTGATGATCCGGCACGCAATCTCGCCCCTGTTCGCGATCAGGATCTTCTCGATCGGCTGCTGGGCCGGAGATTTCTCCACGGGAGGCGCTTGAGAGAAGGGATTGGCGAGCGAGCTCCAACATCGCTTGCTCCTCCTCGCAATGGATGCGGAATTTCCCATGGACGATCGGCAGCGCTAAAGATGAGCTAGAGAATGCGTGTCACCTGATCGAATCGAGGAGCCAGGACCTCCGCTGGAGAAAACCCTAGCCTTGAGATACCTTGTCGTGCTTATCCCGTGAAATAGTCTAATCACTTGAGAAGGAGACCTCTGGAGAAATGAGTGGAGGCTCCACGAATCCATTGCAAGGAGTGACAATATCGACAGCTATCTTGCTAGTTGGTAGTGCGATAGAGAAAATTCACCTTCGACTCAATGGGGAGATATTTCTTCTTGGACAGTGATGTGCACTGCATATGCCCTCAAAGGGCATTTTCTGGAACTACTGGATCATGGCTTATAAACTCGTGAAATACTAACACTGATTTTTATATGACATGGCAGGACTGTGAATCTGAATCCGTCCTTGCTTTCTGAGTTTGATTAAGTTAGAATGGGGATTATGCAAGCTATGTGCGATAATCCCTATGAATCTGAGTGATCCTTGCGAGTGGAGGCTCCGATTTTGCTCTTGGGTCCCTGGAGGTGAAAGGTGGCGGCGTCCAGTGATCGGTGAAGCGGCTGCGCTCGTGGAAGGTGTACTGAAGCGGATGAATCTCGCGGACTCGCATGCTTGCCGGACTATTGCTTCGTGGAGCGCTACTCGTCGAGTGGGAAGGCTTTCAGCTCGTGGACATGATTCTGCGGGTGACCACGACGAGAAGTTGCTGGCCCGAGATCGAAGAAGTTGTTCGAGCGCTGGATGATTTGCATGACAAGCGGAAGCTGGCGCGCCCCGAGCAGTACAAGCTCGTTACGTTGTTCCCGAGTCAATGCTTGAGGGATTCACGTACCAGTTCTTTGAGGAAGACAATGGAGCTGTGTCTGAGCGACGAGTTGCAGGGACGGATACATGATGACGGTTCCATCGTAGTTCGTCTTGAGTTTCAGCATGAATGAGTGAAAATCCAGATGTAAACTATGAACTTTACCTTGCAAATCATGAAGTTTGTTCTTCTCGTACAAGAATCCAACAATGGGATAGAAGTAATCAAGAATCCAACAATGAAAAAGATGTTTCAGCACGTCCCACAGGTATGCTTCAGAGCTGTAGCAAAAATGATAGAAGTAATCAAGAATCCAACAATGAGAAGGAAGGGACAAGCAGAAAAACAAGCTCACTCAGAGGCCCAGGACTTGAGCAACGAGTCCATACCTCTCTCGTAGATGGCCTTGGCAACGAAAGCGTCCTCCTGCTTCCCAAACCTCACCTCCCACTCCATCTCCATGGCCCTCTTTGCCGCTTCCTTGTCCCGTGCGTAGTCTGACGTAGATTTTTCTCTAATTTGAAGTAGATGAGGATGGCTAGTGCAACCACTGCTAATCCAATAAACACAGTGAACACTTGGAAGACTATCCAGTTTGGAGTAACTTCAACTGTGGATGTCGTTGTCACTAGGAATGCTGTGTCATTATTGAGCTGGAGAATTGTCTCAGCAGTGGCAAGGGAAGGTTCCTTTTGGAGGTCATTTATGCTGAAGTAGAGACCTGGCAAGCTTCCTGCCACTGAACCAGCAATGAACACTGTCCGCCCCAAAGTTCTGATTAGTGGACGGTAGCCTGGCTTACCGGCCAACTTAAGTTGATGGAGTTGGCGAAACAATGAATCTTCCCACTCTAAGAGTGTCCTGCTCAAGGAGCCAGCACAAATTCCCAGGAATGCAATGACAAATGTCAGAAAAGACGCATAAACTTGTGTTCGACGAGAAGATCCATCTTTCCAATACTGCTTTCCAAAATGATGAACGTTGCTCACTTTCAACAAGTCATTGAGAACTTCTTGGACGTTCATGTTGTCATATGCGGACAATTTTTTGAAACACGGTGGTGAATCAACCTTAACCAAGAAAATAAAACATCAGCCTCCAGAAAAAAAAAGTCATAGTATGGAACTCACCTTGAATTCTTCGTTCCCGCAGGTGATGTTCCCTCCTGGTTTCTTCGTCAACAGAAACTCTTTGATGACAGTGCCGCACACCTTGTCGGTTTGCATACGAGAATACTTGTACTTAATGCCGGTGATGAGCATAACTTGGGAACCCGTCACGTTTTTTATACAAGCATCGAATAGAACTGTGGGATTTGGCTCTTGGTCTCCTTCTAATGTTGTCTCAATGCATGTTGTCATCTGCTCCATCCCACTCAGCACACCTTCTGTGAGGCTGGCAAGGCTGGCGCCAATGGGAAGAGAGTCATTAAAACTAATTAGGACTGTCACCGGGAGGTTAAATTTGATGCTGTAAGATCCAAGATAGATGATATGTTCATCTATAATATGATCCCAGTCCCAAAATGATCGAGATGTCTCACACTGAGAAGTGTTGAAGGCGAAGGAAACATCTTGGCCTTGCGTCAAGTCGTATCCAATTATGCAAACTTGGCGACGGCAGGCGCACTCTAAGAATGGATAAGACAAGTAAGAAATAACATCCGGGATGTAGTTGATGGGAACTGATGGGCTGCATTCTCTAATATCATTGCTGTAGTAAGACCATGTCGAGTCGTTGGAGGGAATTTTCTCCTGGCTAATCCCTGTGGATATGTTGGACCTCGCACTGCTAGCAAAGTTGCTGAAATAAAATCCAGACTTGGTGAGAACTGGATGCGTGAATTTGGAAGATGGCATTGCGAAAGGTACTTTACTGAGAAGTAAGCCAAGATCCGGCGTACCGCTGGTTTTGTTCACTGAGACTATAGGTGCAGTGATCTTGCAGCGTTCGACAGCAGACGCCCCCATATCACTCATATCATTGATGCACAGGCGTAAGCTTATCCCCCAGTGAATCGCCATTTTCCAGATCAGACTAGTACCATGCTGGCGAATGACTCCTCCATACAAGTGTGGATCAGGCGAGTTGAAAAGATCAGCTTCTACAGTTTTGTTGTTGCTTCTCCAAACCCGCCATGCACTGAGCTTTTGATAAGCAGCAGCAACCTCCGTCATGCTAACACTGCTCGAATTTTTAGTTTCACCCCACACGAGTGCTGACGCAATGGAGGTGCTTGTGGCCCATTTGTAGAAGGGGTCGTTTGTTGTCGCAAACACGTTGGTTTCCCAACAAGTTGTACCTGTCTGTTTGATGAGATCAGAATAGAACTCACCTTCTGGCTTCTTTTTGTTCACACATAACGAGAAGACTAGCAGCACAGCTGTTGCAATTACAATGGCAAATATGAATACTGCAATGGCAACAATGCTCGACGTCTTCCATGGCTTCCTTTCCGCCATAAGTTCGCTAAACGAAAAAACAAAAAATGAAAGCTGTATCCTTCAAGGCTGTTAACAAGTCGAACCTATTGGCAAATTAAAGGAACATGGTAGTGGAGAATCTATTCAGTGCAACATGTCCTTCATCCCCAACCGTAGCAGCAATAATGCAAATGATTCTTTCCACTGCCAGTAATTTGAAAAACAGTAATGCGTATGTGATTTGGAGGGACAACTTTTCCTCGATCTTGGATTTGTCGCTCTAATGCATTTTTCCTATATTCTCCGGCACCTCCCAGAGGTGTCTCATTTGTGTCCATGGCTTCGTCCCCCATAAGTTCGCTCAAATTAAACATGGGCTCAGAAGCGGGACTTGGTTTCTTGTTAATACGGAAAGTGAAAAGTGAACTTGAAAGTGAAGGTTCACATGAATTTATTCATTATCAAGCATTTCTGACTTCCACTCAATGAAAGTTATTCTACTGCCACGTCGGCCTCTATCAGTGTTTAGAAAAAGGTAAATGTAGAAGACGAAAATTGCCTTAAGGATTTGGCTTGAATTAGAGCTTATTCCTGGACGTAGTCTCAGAGATGGAAACAAGAACCTTTCGTACTCGGCTTTACCAGTGTGAGATAGGACGCACTCCTGTCTAGACTATATAAGACTCTCCAATGCACACCATGGCATCGTCCATGAAGCTGCCAACCTTGCCAAAGGCTAAGATTGCATCGACTACATTGGAGACTACATGACAAAGGGGTTGTATGTAGGGAGCAACTCTCCAATCTACTAAGTTTGCAAGGTTATTTCCCACTAACCCTGGCACTTGGATCTTCCAAGTCGACCAGACACCATTGTCCAATGTCCCTGTCCAATGGCATTTGCTGGAGGCGCTGGATCTCTTCCGCCGGATGGATCTCGAGGGCGTGAAGCCGGACGACGTGACCTTCCTCGCGATCCTGGGCGCGTGCTCCTCCGCCAGAGATCTCGCCACTGGGAGCGATCTCCACGCCCGGATCGTGGCGAGTGGAATCGCGATCGATGTCGTCGTTGGCAGCGCGCTCGTCCACTTCTACTGCAAATGCGAGCGAGATCCCCGACCCCAATGTTGTCACATGGCGTCGATCATCGCGGCGCACGCCGAGATGGGATTGCATCGCGAGGGGATGGATCTCTTCCGGAGGATGCAGCTCTCCGGCGTTAGCGCGGACAGGCTCGTGATCGCCAGCGTGCTCGAGTCGGATCCATCCATCCGGAGCGCCGCGGCGCCGATTCCCGAGTGGATCTTCCTCTCCGGGCTGGAGCGCGATCCCTACCTGCGAACTGGATTGATCGCTATGTATGGGAAGTGGGGGCTCCTCCACGAATCCATGGCGATCTTCTTCCGCGAGAGCTCGCTGGATTCCAATGTGGTGGCCTGGACAGCGATGATTTCTTCGTGCTCCCAGCATGGCCGCGTCGATCTCGCCGTGGCGCTCTTCCATCTCGAGGGCGTGCGGCAGGACTGCGTCTCGATGATGACGATCATGGACGCGCTCGCCAGCGACCCCTCGTATTGCCCGCGCAACCTCGCGGGGATCGGCGAGGTGATCGCGTCTTGCGGCCTGGAATCCAGCTCCGCGATTGGGAACTCGCTCATCAATCTCCAACGCCAGGAGCGGCCGGATCGAGCGAGCGCTGGAGATCTTCCACGGGATGATCCATACGCTTGCCCAGAGCGGCAACGCCGCTAGCGTTCTAGTGATGCTCCGCGAGATGGATATCGAGGGCATCAAGCCCGACGCCGTGGTGTTCGTCAGCGCGATCGATGCTTGCAAATCCAGCTCGCGCCTTGCCGACGGCCGGATCCTCCACGCCAGGGCGATCGCCAGCGGCGTCGACGACCGCATCCAGGTCGCGAATTCCCTGCTCGACATGTACAGCAAGTGAGGGCGCCTGGATCTCGCCATGGCCGTGTTCCCAGCACGACACCATCGCCTGGAACTCGATCGTCATCTCCTTCGCGCAGCATGGGCGATTGGATCCGCGCGAGGGAGCTCTTTGCATCTCGAGGGAATGGAGCCCAGCCGCGTGACGATCGTGAGCATCCTCTCGGCGTGCCGCCACGCCGGGCTCTTGGAGGAGGCGCGGCGCTACTTCGTGTGCATGGCGGACGACCACGGCATCGATCCAGCGCTGCTCCATGATCGATCTCTTCGGCCGCGCGGGGTGGCTGGATCACGCCGAGGTGCTGGTGCGCGAGATGCCCATCCAGCCCGCGATCACGAGCGTGACGGCGCTCCTGGGATCTTGCCGGATCCACGGCGGCGGACGTCCGGGGCGGCGGAGCAAGCGATCGATCTAGACCCGAGAGCGCGGCTGGGGGATTAGCGTTGCTAGGAAAGAATAGTGGAATGCGAAGAGCCCTAAAAACATATTCTTTTTTTATACCTTTTTACAGAATTGAAGAATCTAGTTTGGAGATAAAAGGCATATTTAGTTCACGGGATAAAGGCATATTCCTTTCATTAAGAATCTTTTCGAATCTTTTCTATTATACCTTTTTAAAAGTAGAAAAGAATCTAGTTTGGGTTTGATTGATCTTGCTGCTGGAGCGCGTCTTCGAGCAGATCTTCGCCAAACTCGAGAGCTGCGCATCGAAACATCTGGCTGTCCACCAGCTTACCTTCGCTGGCCACTCCCCACACTGCGTGCTCGAACACTTCCACCTCGATCGTCGCCACGAATGACTCTCGGCACGCGGGCTGCCACTCGAGCTTTCCAATCGGAGCAAGGATTTGCTCCGAGAAGGACACCGGCGAAGCATAGCATAGAATCTAATCGCCAAGGAGGAGAGAACCGAAAGCCATACCATGATAGTGTGTGAAGGACCAACTCCGGTTAACGCGAACTTCTCTTCCAGGAGAGAGAGCTGCACGTCCTTGAAAATGGTCTCAAGGTCGTTGGTGCGCAGATCCAATTTGCAGTTGGCCGATCGGTATCCGAGTGAGAAGACATAAGTGGTCTCCAGGAGTTTGCCGAGCTTGAACCGAGCTCCCGAGCAGACAATCTGGGAAGAATTATCCCGCGACATCCCCTGGGGCCACACATGACCGGCAAGGAAAGTTTCTCCCCAGTTCTTCTCCTGGTGCGCAAACCCGTCACCGTGAACCACCATGTTCTTGTCGCTGCTGAAAAATGTGTACTTTGCTCGGAAGCCCAGGCTGTGCACGTACCAATGGCACGGGAACAGTGGAACTTTCCCTGCCCAGCCTTCGGGGCCCTTTTTACTGTTGCCAGAATCCCATGGGACCTGGAAAAAACACCGGGATGTGAGACTTTGTTTTGGTTTTGGAATGAAGAACATTACCGTGTCACTCGTCTCAACTCTGAGGTCGTAGCCATTTAGCCGGACCTCCACGGCTTCATCACGATTTTTCCTATGCCTGCAGCCTCCCACTGAAATCCCTTGGGCTCGTCGTCATTGTCAGTTCCAGACAAATCTCCTATCGTGCTGAACTTCGCGTCCTGCAAGAAGAAAACAGCTGGGGAAACTAAGAAACTTCCAATGAAGAAATGCAGGCCAACAACACAGAAAAACACCAGGAAGGATTGTAAAACAAGGTATTAGAAGGGAAAACAATAGACCATAGTCGATGAAAAAACGAAAAAGAACAGTGGGTGGACGACATGGAGACTAGAAACCTAGTAAACTATGATCGATAAAAAAAGGAAAAGAATAGTGTAGCGAACTATGATCGATGAAAAAAAGGAAAAGACCAGTGAAGTGGACGACATGGAGACTAGAAAGCTAGTAAACTATGATAAAACTCACACCCGAGATACTCGTAGACTTAAAACAAAACGAATGCTAGCAATCTAGGAGTGCGTGAACTATATAAAAAAATAGAACAAGAAAAAAAACGATTTATTGTCGGAAGCCTGTACATATGCTTGGCGTATTTGAATCCACCATATACGAGCTTATGGATAATGGATCACATCAGCTGCGTCCCTGACTGTCTCGGCACCCTGCTGCTCCACTTGGATCTTGAACTTCTCTTCCAGTGCCATGACAATCTTGACCTGTATTTACAATATCATATTCATCTTAGAAGGACGTAATTACGTCTTTCTATCCAACATATATGCCTCAAAGTCAACATATATTGCTCCTTTGTACAGTTTAGATAATGATGGTTGTTGAGACACAGAAGTGGACAAAGTCTTCCACCCCTATCGTTTATCTACCGGTGCCAGAAGCTCTTGCGTATGAACGCAAAATATATTGCTTTTCAGAATATATCGCCAACTTCAAACATCATTCATCACATTCATCGTCGTATGTGAGCTCCTTCAACTCGCAGCCCTGTGCTTCCAGAATTGGAAAACTTTACGGACAAAGTTGTGCTTCCTGAATGCCTCGCAAGTGTTTTATACTTGTTCGATGCACGGAAAAAAGGAGCAGCACGAAGCATTGGGCCGGAGACAGCTTAGCACCGATTCAACACCAGACACCAGAATGGTGCAAGACTGTCACACAAGAATAGACTAGACTAAACCAAAGAACTATCTGAATAGAGAGAAAAAAGGAGAGAAAAGAAACTTGAGAAACTCGAGGTTCGAGACGCAGGAAGTTAAGTCTGGAAAAAATCTTGAAGATGGCAGTAAGTTTCGAAAGGACTGGAGCTCGACCAACCGGACGCTCTCGACCAGGCTCGAGAGCTCCACACAAGATTTTTCCCTGGAGCTGCTGCAGCTGGAGATGTTGCTGAAGCTACTGCTCTCGTCAACATGTATGGGAGATGTGGGGAGCGTGAGCGATGCCAAGATCGTCTTGATGAGATGGAGCACAGGAAAATCACCCTGGTTACGTACTCGTTGAACCAGTAGTGCCTGGAAGCTCTTCGTTTCTTTCGGACCATGCTACTCGAAGGCGATAGCTTCATGTTCCTCAAATCGCTGGAGAAGAAGTTGGCTAAGTATCAGTCGAGAAGAAGAGAAAGAAAGAAAAAACCAATGGAAGACTTACATCGGCTCCAGTGCGATGAGCAGCATCGAGAATTGAAGTAGTGGAGTAGGCTGGACCGATAAACACTGCTTCATTGGCTCGACGGACGTGTAGCGAATTTCGAGCAGCAATACCGCCACCTTTTTTAATCCCAGGCTATGTGCAGTCTTGATGATCTGGCACGCAATCTTGCCCCTGTTCGCGATCAGGATCTTCTCGATCGGAGATTTCTCCGTGGGAGGCACTTGAGAGAAAGGATACCTTGCCTGTTGGATACTTATCTTCCTATCTGAGTTAAGTTCCTCGCTGAGTAGTAAAAACATGCTCAACACTCAGCTGTTCATATCAGTCACAGAAAGATCTTTTGCAATGTGGAATGACTAAGGTTCAAATGATATAATGCCTCCCCTCCTTGTTGCTTTGGCCAAGAAAAACTTGCCATGAACCCCTAAACTTCTGTAAAGGTTTGGTAGTCTCACTCTTTGCAGTTGGAAATGCCGAAGAGCTTACATTTCTCACTAATAGAAACAAACAAAATAAAAAAAGTCATATGACTAACACATGAATGGAAACAAATAATAAGCTGTATAGCAAGGTGATTTTTTCCCTCTATGTAAAGCTGCTAGAAAAATAAAAACAAACAAACAAGAAATGGAGCAATCCATAAAAAACTGAAAGCCCATGTTTTGTCTAACAGCAAAAAAAACACTTAATAAATTTTTTGGAGTTAAATCTAGTATTCTGAAATTATAAAGTTCTTTCTGATTTGGCTAGGACAATTGTTTAGATTTATTGACACAATGTGAGTAGATTTATAATTTCACGGTGATACATACAAATATGTGAAAAATGAACATACTTAGAATATGCATATTTTAGAATATTCTACTATCTAACAGTTGATATTTATTTGAATTAATTTTTTATTTACAATTTAATTTTTCCTAAACACTTCATAATATATTCTAGTAAGGATATTATGTAGCCCTGATCAAACCTTGGGTGTTCAACTTTACACTCTTTGTTGAACTTTTAGTTTATATGTGAATTATTAACTTTTGCCTTATATGCATTATAATAAATTTGGATTTGAGCTTCATCTCAAACTCGAATTTTAGTTTGGATATGGATATATAAAGTGAAAGTCTAAAATAGTTGTTTTATTAAGGTGTGGTAGGTTGCAAATACCAAAAAGATAATAAAGGATAAATTATTCTACCATATGAAAGAAAATTAATCTTGTATTTCTAAATTATAAAATATTATAAAATTTTGATTGAAAACATTACTATTAAGAAAACTAAGTATGCAACATGCAATAAATTATTTGTTATTACTTTGATAAATATATTTGAGTTTATAATTAATTTAAATGTGTATTTTATAATTACTTTTTACAAACTCCATCACACACATAATAATCATAGTTCATGCTAATATCAATCTTTTGTGTAAATGCATTAAAAATAATTCAAAATAATCAAATGAAATAAAATAAATATACACAATTTATATGTTAAATATATTTTTAATGTAAAATTAATTTGATATAAATGAGTTAAAGGTTTTGGAGGATAATGAATTTATTTTAGAGATTGTTATTATCTAAAAGTTAAAAGTTTAACTAAATGTAATTATAAACTATTAAGATTTTTTTAAAATTATATAGTCATTATTTTATTTATTAATGCAATAGAAAGATATATTCTAATTCCCTTTTTATGTTTAAACATTTGTTTATTCTGGAATGTAAACTTAACAAAAATTTATAATAAATTCAATTACAAGTGGTGGAAATAACAGTGATACGTTAAAAGTTATTAAAATTCATCTATTTAGAAAAATAATTTTGTGACTATTATAAAAAATTAAAAAATAAATTTAGAAAATACCATCACCAAAATACACTATCATTGATAAAAAGAATGTAAATTATAAAGTCATTAGTAGTATAGTGGCATAAACACTCAATAATATTTAACTTACAAATAATCTATTTCACATTACTTTCAAAATTAAATTAATAAATAAAACAAAAAAAATATTTAAAGAAAATTATTTTAAAATTTTATGTATCTCATAAGACATTAAAATTATTTCTAGATTTTAGCATTGCAATTTTGTGATTGAGCTTCCTACATAGCATTTTTGCTTGCCTTTAACTTGTATTTCATAGCGATAGTTGCTTAAAATTTTATGTGTAATTAAAGACTATATTAAATTAATCTCTTTCTCAAAAACTATTATTTAAATTGTATAATATACTAATTTGTATTTAATTATTTTAATATAGTATGTAACTTTATGTATTACACTCATATATTATTTATATATTACATATTAGAATTTATATATTATGTATACAACATGAAGTTTGGTTTATACTATATTTCTTTAGTTTGTGCACTTGTTGCATATCACATTTTAGAAAGTATAAATAATATATAGAAATATCATTAAATTTCTTTAAATTTAATATAAATTATATATATATATATTATATTATATATTTAAAAAAATTTATTTCAATGAAATTTTTTTAAAGGTTTTTTTTATATTTTTAAAATTAAATTGAAAAGCTTTTTCTTCTATATTATTGTTTATGGGAAATCCAAATTACTCTGTTTATTACGAGTTTAGTTTACATAAGTTTGTTGAATAACAACACAAAAAATGTTATAAAAACAATTATTCAAAATTAAATATACTATTACTAACATTCTTCTAGATTTTTAGAGAAATAATTTTCATATTATCATCCCTAATTAATGACTAACATTATATAACAGGTGTTAGGGTTAAGAAACTACATTGTTTCGGGGAGATGAGCTCGGAGCTCGGTATGATCTAGGCGTCACCAATTATCTCTAACAAGTTTCTGTGTGTCAGATCCTTTTCTCGCTGCCTACGGCCGGGAGGTAAAGCATGCCAGGCTCCAGGACCGCTGCCTCCACATCCCGTCTGGCTTCTTGGGCCGTTACAACCTGTCCAAGCTCTGGGTCCATCCAAACTACCTTTTCATGGATCAGTTCATTGTGGAGAAGTGGAGCAGGGTCGTGAAGGAGAGGAAAGGGTTGAAGAACTTCCACATCGTCTCAACGCCAGGTATCGGCAAGACGTTCTATGGCCACTACTTCTTTCACAGTAGAGCTCAGGAAGGACAGAAAGTAGTGTGGAGGACCGAAGATGACGTTCCAGAGTACTTGTTCTTCGACTTCTCGCTGGACGATCCTCTGGTGCTGCAATCGAAATGGTATACTCGACCGCGGGGGTGGGACATGACGAGTGTCTGGCTCATCGTCGACGGGGGCTCGAGGGGAATAAGCCACCTGGGGCCTCTCATCCAGTGCGTCGGATCGCCGGATCGCACTGGCTACTACGAGTTCTCCAAGGACCATGGCTATATATGCCGCCTGGGAGCCTGGTCTCTCGAGGAACTGCAGCAGTGCAGCCAGGAGCTTGAGCTGGGAATGACAGACGAGGAAATCGGTGTCCGCTTTTACTACTGTGGCGGGCTACCAAGGCTTCTCTTCAACACGGAGAAGTTCTCGGTGGCCGCGCTCCAAGGGTTGGTGCACGAGGCAGCTGCCAGGGTGGAGAGCTGGAGAAATGTGCTCCACTGCACACTCAACTCGGACAAGGACCCCGCTGTTTCTGATATTCTGCTCCACTACCGTCTTACGACTGACAGATTCGACTCGAACATACCTGCGTGTTACCGGGTGCTGCACCCTCACTTGGTGTTTGGCTCGGACTGCATTCAGAAGCTTGCTTTTGAAAGGTTTGAGAAGCAGGGGCTTCAGGCTTTCCGTGACTTTTTCGACTTATGCCGGGGATATCCGGTTGCAAACACCATGGCGGGCAAAATATACCAGCAGCACGTCCACAAGGTACTTGCCACTGGAGGTTACCAGTTTGATCTTCGGTCCCTGGAAGAGGAAGGTGACGGCGTCGAACTCTTCCATCGGAGGCCAACGTCAGTGAAGCGGCTGCGCGAGTGGAAAGTGTTCGTAAAGAAGCGCTGCGTGGGGTCTGGTTTCAACGTTTACTCCAGGGACGTGAGTCCTGTGGACGCTTATCGTGCGGGGGCGGAGGAATCACGGGGCCTTGCAGGCTTGCCTGACAATTGCTTCGTGGAGCCTTACGCGTCAAACGAGAAATCTTTCGACTCGTTGGTCACTCCGGACGTAATTCTCCAGGTTACAACGTCAGCCACGCATCCGGTCTATTGGTCCAAGATCCACGAGCTCGTTCAGGGGTTGGATGAGTTGCATGACAAGCTCAAGCTGGTGCGTCCCAAGCAGTACAAACTCATCTACGTCGTTCCCGAGCCTATACACGTACCAGGGCTTCAAGAAAGACGATGGATCCATGTATCAGAGAGATGTTGCCGGGATGGACAGGGTTCATCAGTATGTGATGACTGTTCCATGGAGTTTGCATTAAGCTCTTCAAAAGTGACTGAAACAGAAATCCCGTGGCTCTTGTTACAAAAGAATCAAAGTTTAAACTAAAACTTCTGCTCGCGTTACCTTTGCTAAGAACTTCATACTAAAGATCTCCAGAGGTTACCACTTACATCATCTGTGAGCCAACACAACAATCGAACGATGATCTAAAAACCTCTTTTTTCTTCCAATGCCGCGCGATGTTGTTGCGATTGAATCCAGAGCTCAAGGAGCCACCACCAGTAGCAGCGAGAAAGACCCACGCGCTGGATCCCAAGCGCGTCCACTTCTTCAAGTCCATGCTCAAGCTCCACGGTGACGCCAAGAACCTGGACGCCGGGCGAGCGGTCCACCTCCAGATGATCACCAGCGGCTACCACCGCGACCGCTACCTCTGCAACCTCCTCATCCAGATGTATGGCCGCTGCCGCAGCGTCCACGACGCCATCGCCGTCTTCCACACCGTGAGCCGCAAGAACGTCTTCACCTGGACCATCCTCATCGTCGCTCACACCCACAACGGCCTCTTCTTCGAGGCCGTGGAGCTCTTCCGCGAGATGGACGTCCACGGCGTCCAGTCCGACGAGTTCACCTTCTCCGCCATCCTGGAAGCCTGCTCCAACCTCGGCCTCGCCTTCCTCTCGCTCGGCAAGACCATCCACTCGAGAATCCACCAGCAGGGCCTCAAACTCACGTCCGTCCTGGCGACTTCGCTCATCAGCATGTATGGCCGGTGTGGCTGCGTCAACCCGGCCGTGAAGATCTTCCACAGCCTCGAGAACCCGACGGTGATATGCTCCACCGTATGCCCAGAACGGGCATATCGAACAGGCTGCGGAGATCTTCGAGAGAATGCAGCTCCAAGGCCTGGATCCCGACTTGATCGCCTGGACTGCGATGATGACGGCGTATAACCAGCTCGGGCATGCCAGAGAGGCGCTGCTTCTCTTCCGGAAGATGGACCTCCAAGGTCTCGAGCCGGACAGGTTTGCATTCGTCGCTGCTATTGATGCTTGCTCTAGCATCCCGTCACTGGAGCAAGGCACTGTCCTCCACTCTCGCTTGCTAGCCTCGTGGGTGGAATGCGATGGTGTCGTCGGGAACGCGCTGCTAAACTTCTACGCCAAGGCGGGGCTTGTTCACGAGTCGAGGAGCCTCTTCTCGAGCATGAAAGTGAAGAACGTCGTTGTCCTTGGAACTAGCCTCGTCAACATGTACAGCAAATGTGGAAGAAGCGGAAGAAGTCTTCAAGAGGATGCCCACGAAAGATAAAATCTCGTGGACTGCCATGGTGACTGCCTACGCTCAAAACCATGGGAGAAGCGACGGCTCCCGGTGTGAGCTTGCTGCTACTGCCAGCACTTGTTAATCGTTGAGATGTTTCACAATGGCTTTCTGTATCATAGGCCTCCCGCAACGCTGTTGTAAAGTGATGGTGCTCGCCGTCCTTCTACACGTGAATGTGATAAGCCGATTTCTGTTGTCCAGAAAATGCCAATTAGATCTAAATTGAAAGGAGAGAAAACTGCATACCTGCAGATAATAACCATAGCTTATAGTGGAGGAAATGCCATTGATGTCGACAGTTATGTCACAGCCAGAACTAGCAACTCTTTTAGCTGTGTTTGACACAAGATGAATCTTCCGCAAACTGCACAATATGACTCCACTTGGGGAATAGGCAAAAGGGAAAACAATGCGTCTACCTTTACTAAGAACTCGCTGTCACTTGAATAAGTGACATCTAAGCTCATCGGTTCGCATGAGAGACTCTCGGACTCAGGCATCCAGTCTAACGAGATCTTCCTGGTATAAGGATTGTTGACTCGAAAACCAGAAGTTGTATGCCATGGGCCTCCAGTTCTCGATTCTGCACTGGAAATCGTAAATGCTGGCTATCTAAAAACTGCGAGTCGATCTTACCTGGTCGTCGAAAACTCTCCCTTACACATACGCCCACGGCCGCTAAAGCAGCGAAAGATTTTACATCTCGCTTGGCTCTTTCGGAAAAATCTAGTGGCTGTGTTTCCAGGTCCCCAGCCCTGAAAGCCGGATGTTTTGCAAGCTTTTTTAAAAAGTGGATGTTAGTTGGAAGTCCAGCAACCTGGCGAATGCAATGTTAGTACTCAACAATAATTACAAAAAAAAAGAGCAAACCAACTTGCCTGAAAATTCGAGAGGCAATTATGCAGCTTCGCCAACGCCATATCGCGATCACTACCCCATACGACCAGCTTGGCTATCATAGGATCGTAGTGGACGCTTACAGCATCACTTTGCTCTACACCCGTCTCAATTCTCACTGCATTGACAAGATAAACTGCTTAGTATTCTTCAAGTTTGACACGAGTTACCAGTGGATGAAGCGGGAGGTGGATTATAATGGTAAAGAACTCCAGCAGCAGGTAGAAAACCTCTTGGAACGTTTTCAGCATAGACCCGAGCCTCAAACGCATGACCTGCTTAGCTGCGATAATCTTCGGGAATAAGCGGTATACTCTTTTGCTCAAGTGGAAGGCTTTCGCCATTTGCGACACGAATTTGCCATTCCACCAAGTCTTGACGCGTCACCATTTCGGTGACAGGGTGCTCAACCTGACCACAAGTTTAATTCAGCATATACAGAAACTAGTGGAAGTCCGTCCTTACTTGCAAACGTGTGTTCATCTCCATAAAGAAAAAATCTCCTGTTGCAGTGTCGACAATAAACTCGACAGGTAATTCACAGCCTTCGATAGAAAAGAAATTTAGATTTGATAGCAGCAAATCACAAAAGAGGATACCTTAGCCGCATTGACTGCTGCTTGTCCTATTGAGTTGCGAAAGTCGTCTGACATGAGCGGCTGGAATATTAAAAAAAAAAACATGGTGAAACAGCAAACAGCCTGAAATATTGTCCTACCGCTGGTGCTTCCTCTATAATTTTCTGGTGGCGCCTCTGAACGCTACAGTCCCGTTCAAACAAATGAACAACGTTTCCAAAGCGGTCGCCAAAGATCTGTCAGCAAGTCTGTGATAAATTTCCAGATTGCAGAAAATCTCCCACCTGGACTTCTATGTGTCGAGGCTGTGCGATATACTTCTCAATCAAGACCCTGGTGTCGCCAAACGCAGCAGCAGACTCACGTAGAGCGCTTCTCAAACTGTCCAGAAACTCGTCTCTGCTGTGGACAATCCTCATGCCCTGAACCAAAACTTTACAAGAGAAATTAGTAGTGTCGCCAACATGAAACAAAATACCAAAAAGAAAGCAAAAAACCAACCTTTCCTCCGCCACCAAGAACAGGCTTGATCAGAACGGGATAGCCAATCCGATCAGCCTCAGATTGCAGCAGCTCGTGGCTCTGATCATCCCCGTGGTATCCAGGAACAACAGGAACATTAGCACCGCTCATAAGCTTTTTGGAGGCACTAAGGAGTTCCAAGATAGTTCTTATGGCTGGTTCTTTGAAGAAAAATGGAGATGGCGTACCTTTTGTCTCCCATCAAGCTAATCGCAGCTGCCGAAGGGCCAATGAATGTGATCCCAGACTCGTGGCAAGCCTGCGCAAACTTCGAATTTTCTGATAGAAATCCATACCCGGGATGGATTGCCTGAGAAGAAGTTGGATATGTATGGGTTGAGAAGAAAAGAAATGAAAGCTTACATCGGCTCCAGTGCGACGAGCAGCGTCGAGGATGGAAGTAGTGGACAAGTAGCTGAGCTGCGCAGAGGCGGGGCCGATAAACACTGCTTCATCGGCTCGACGGACGTGTAGCGAGTTTCGATCGGCATCACTGTAAACCGCCACCGTTTTTAATCCCAAGCTACGCGCGGTCTTGATGATCCGGCACGCAATCTCGCCCCTGTTCGCGATCAGGATCTTCTCGATCGGCTGCTGGGCCGGAGATTTCTCCACGGGAGGCGCTTGAGAGAAGGGATTGGCGAGCGAGCTCCAACATCGCTTGCTCCTCCTCGCAATGGATGCGGAATTTCCCATGGACGATCGGCAGCGCTAAAGATGAGCTAGAGAATGCGTGTCACCTGATCGAATCGAGGAGCCAGGACCTCCGCTGGAGAAAACCCTAGCCTTGAGATACCTTGTCGTGCTTATCCCGTGAAATAGTCTAATCACTTGAGAAGGAGACCTCTGGAGAAATGAGTGGAGGCTCCACGAATCCATTGCAAGGAGTGACAATATCGACAGCTATCTTGCTAGTTGGTAGTGCGATAGAGAAAATTCACCTTCGACTCAATGGGGAGATATTTCTTCTTGGACAGTGATGTGCACTGCATATGCCCTCAAAGGGCATTTTCTGGAAGTACTGGATCATGGCTTATAAACTCGTGAAATACTAACACTGATTTTTATATGACATGGCAGGAGGGTATCCCTGTGAATCTGAATCCGTCCTTGCTTTCTGAGTTAAGCAAGATAGAAAATGTTGATTAAGTTAGAATGGGGATTATGCAAGCTACGTGCGATTAAATGGGGGATTCTGGGAAAAAAATTATGGCCTGGGAACTTGGTCTCTCTGAGAAACTGCAGCAATGCAAGTTCCTGGCTCGTGATTCGCAAGAGCAAAGCTCTGGGCGGAGTCCAATCCAAACACCAAGCTTGCACTCACCACCGAGTTGAACGATCCATCTGATCCTTGCGAGTGGAGGCTCCGATTTTGCTCTTGGGTCCCTGGAGGTGAAAGGTGGCGGCGTCCAGTGATCGGTGAAGCGGCTGCGCTAGTGGAAGGTGTACTCAAGCGAATGAATCTCGCGGACTCGCATGCTTGCCGGACTATTGCTTCGTGGAGTGCTACTCGTCGAGTGGGAAGGCTTTCAGCTCGCGGACATGATTCTGCGGGTGACCACGACGAGAAGTTGCTGGTCCGAGATCGACCAAGTTGTTCGAGAGCTGGATGATTTGCATGACAAGCGGAAGCTGCCGCACCTCGAGCAGTACAAGCTCGTTACGTCGTTCCCGAGTCAATGCTTGAGGGATTCACGTACCAGTTCTTTGAGGAAGACGATGGAGCTGTGTCTGAGCGACGAGTTGCAGGGATGAATACCGGTTCCATCGTAGTTCGTCTTGAGTTTCAGCATGAATGAGTGAAAATCCAAATGAAAACTATGAACTTTACCTTGCAAATAATGAATTGTGTTCTTCTCGTACAAGAATCCAACAATGGGATAGAAGTAATCAAGAATCCAACAATGAAAAAGAAGTTTTAGCATGTCTTCAGAGCTGTAGCAAAAATGATAGAAGTAATCAACAATCCAACAATGAGAAGGAAGTTTCAGCATGTCCCACACGTATGATTTAGGAGCTCTGCTTTGTAATATTCTCGTCCTGCCAAGCACAAGAATCCAACAATGAGAAAGAAGTAATTAAACCAACCATAAGCATAATGCCGCCTTTAATACTCTAATTTTTAAATTTTGATATAGAGACGATCTGTGGTTAATCTAAAGCAAACAATCTTAACGTAAACAAAGGTATATTCGTTCTTTTAATGGAGGAAGCTTAAGCCCTATTTCTTTCAAGCTTGCGAGCGACGGCGATGGGGGCTGATACTCCTCTCCCTCTCGGCCGCGGCTTTCCCCGAGTTCATTCAGCACACCGATCCGGAGACGATGTGGTTGTCAAGCTGGGACGATTTGAGCAGTGTGTGGATGCCGCAAGTGCTTCTCTCTCCGTGGATCCCTGCCATCTCAAGAGTATATACTGGAAAGCTTTGGCGTTGCTCAAGTTCCATCTCTACAGCTGGTCATGCCAAGCTTTTGGGCGACGTTTTTAGGGTGGACGAGGCAATTGATCGATTTCACCAAAAATGCAACAAGCTTACCATCCAGAGCTACAACAGCAACAGTATCATGGCAGAGATTTGTGACTTTCTCCGGGCCTGGAGTGAAGGAGAGGAACTTCCATTTTTACCAGAGGTTGCAGACAACTTTTGCAAAGTGGAAGTAAGAAAATGCGAAGATCAGAGCAAGGGACGAGGCTTGGGACTCTTTACAACGACAAGCATCAAGAAGGCGAGTTCGTTCTTGTCAGCAACTCGGCAGCCTTTGAGCGAGGTGGTTACAGATCCATTTGCGATAGAAACACTGCAGTCCAGCTGCTCGACATGGCCATGAAGTCTCCGCGAGCATACAAGCTGATCCACAGCCTTGCAGGACCAGCGTGAAGTTCCCGCAATGGAGATCTTTCAGCTAAACTGGGCCACGCCGGAGAACTGGTCGATTGTCAGCACTGACAGTAGCAGGGAAGGTCTCCAAGGGATTACGGTGGAGAGAATTTTCGAAATCGTCAGCAAAGCTTCCTTCAACCCTAAGGTGCAGCTGCCTAGCCAGAACGAGTCGACGAACGAGCACGCTTCGCTACTTGGTTCGTCCCCGGTTTCATCAACCACTGCTGTGTTGGGAACGTTTCCCAGAGGATGTTTGGCACCACTTTGCCACCCGAGACATCCAGGCCGGGGAGGAACTCGGGTTCTGCTACATCATCGGCGGCCATCCTTACAGCTCTCCTTCGAGTGTGCTTGCAAGAAGTGCGAGCTGGAGCGGCGGCTGGACGAGGATCTCGCGCAGGTGACGGGCTTCTACAGGGACTTGGCCGAGGCAAACCTTGAGTTTCGGTTCAAGGGAGGGATCAGTCCGGCCCGGATGGTGGTGAAGCTGGAGCAAGTGTTGGCGACAAAGCTCCAGGATGAGGAGGAGAGGCAGTGCGTGAGAGCGATCCACTGGTCGCTCTACCTGTGTTACTACCAGCAGGTGGAGGTTGGAAACGTGGTGGCGCTGCCGGAGGGGATTGCTCCAGCGATTATGGAGGCGATGCACAAGCTCACGGCTGGCAGCAATGGCAACGAGAGTTACGTGGAGACGATGGCAGACTACGCACGGGACAAGGAAGCGGCAAAGAGGGTGATGAAGATGGAGTGGGAGGTGAGGTTTGGGAAGCAGGAAGACGCTTGCGTTGCCAAGGCCATCCACGAGAGAGGTATGGACTCGTTGCTCAAGTCCAGGGCCTCTGAGTGAGCTTGTTTTTCTGGAGTGTTTTTGTCCTATTTCTTCTTTTTCTACTACTACTCACTACTTCTCTTTCTTCTCTTCTGCTGTCCTACTACTACCTTAACCACTCGGCCAAAGCGACACTTCCATGAAACCGCTCTTTTCACAAAGTAATCCACGAAAGAAGGGATTGGTGAGCGAGCGCCATGATTTATTACACCGAGCAATCTAGTCAAGTATGCTTGAATTATACTGTTATACTACTGATTTCTAGAATTATATTTCATCAAACTAATCTAACAGCATTCAAATTAGACACTTCGAAGAAATACGCCCATAATACAACAAGAAAAAAGCTTGTGTTATAACAAAAGAATGAAGAGAAAATAGAAAATTAAATTTTGAAGCAATCTATTTCATGTCAATTATACCTTACGAATGTATGCTCACATTATTTCCGCACTATATAATTTAACCTTTGCCCTTCATACTTATCGCATAATAAAACCCTAATTTGTCATACTTGGTTTTTTAATTAACATATTTCTTACATAAAAGAAGTTAAAGAATGCACGGAAAAGCTGGCTGGCCCCTGGGACAGCTAGACTAGAAAATCAAAGCGGAAACACGAAGCGAGCTATGCTTTTTTGTCTGTCAGAAAAATTAACATATGTTAGCTCAAAACAGAAGTAATGAAGATTTACCTGGAGAATCCCCTTGTTGCTGAACATCTTTCTCATCATGTTGCTGACGTATTTTCTCTAATTTGAAGTAGATGAGGATGGCTAGTGCAACCACTGCTAATCCAATAAACACAGTGAACTCTTGGAAGACTATCCAGTTTGGAGTAACTTCAACTGTGGATGTCGTTGTCACTAGGAATGCTGTGTCATTATTGAGCTGGAATATTGTCTCAGCAGTGGCAAGGGAAGGTTCCTTCTCGAGGTCATTTATGCTGAAGTAGAGACCTGGCAAGCTTCCTGCCACTGAACCAGCAATGAACACTGTCCGCCCCAAAGTTCTGATTAGTGGACGGTAGGCTGGCTTACCGGCCAACTTAAGTTGATGGAGTTGGCGAAACAATGAATCTTCCCACTCTAAGAGTGTCCTGCTCAAGGAGCCAGCACAAATTCCCAGGAATGCAATGACAAATGTCATAAAAGACGCATAAACTTGTGTTCGACGAGAAGATCCATCTTTCCAATACCGCTCTCCAAAACGATGAAGGTTGCTCACTTTCAACAAGTCATTGAGAACTTCTTGGACTTTGTTGTTGTCGTCTAGAAACAATTTTTTGAAACACGGTGGTGAATCCACCTTAACCAAGAAAATAAAACATCAGCCTTCAGAAAAAAAAAGTCATAGTATCGAACTCACCTTGAATTCTTCATTCCCGCAGGTGATGTCCCTTCCTTGTTTCTTCTTCAACAGAAAATCTTTGATGACAGTGCTACCCACCTTGTCATCTTCCATACCAGAAGACTTGCCGGTGACATCCACAACTTGGCAACCCGTCACGTTTTTTGTACAAGCATTCATTAGAATTGTGGCATTTGGCTTTTGGTCTCCTTCTAACGTTGTCTCAATGCATGTTGTCATCTGCTCCATCCTACTCAGCACACCTTCTGTGAGGTTGGCAAGGCTGGCGCCACTGGGAAGAGAGTCATTAAATTGAATTTTGAATGTCACCGGGAGGTTAAATTTGATGCTGTAAGATCCAAGAAAGATGGTATGTTCATCTTGGATAACATCCCAGTCCCAAAATGATCGAGATGTCTCACACTGAGAAGTGTTGAAGGTGAAGGAAACATTTTGGCCTTGCGTCAAGTTGTATCCAATTATGCAAACTTGGTGACGGCAGGCACACTGTAAGAATGGATAAGACAAGTAAGAAATAACATCCGTCATGTAATTGATGGGAACAGATGGGCTGCATTCTCTAATATCATTGCTGTAGTAAGACCATGTCGAGTCGTTATAGGGAATTTTTTCCTGGCTAATCCCCGTGGATATGTTGGACCTCGCACTGCTAGCAAAGTTGCTGAAATAAAATCCAGTCTTGGTGAAAACTGGATGCGTGAGGTTGGAAGATGGCATTGCGAAAGGTACTTTACTGAGAAGTAAGCCAAGATCCGGCTTACCGCTGGTTTTGTTCACTGCGACTATAGGTGCAGTGACCTTGCAGCGTTTGACAGCAGACAGATGTCCTGGATTGATGCACAGCCGTAAACTTATCCCCCAGTGAATCGCCATTTTCCAGATCAGATTAGTACCATGCTGGCAAATGACTCCTCCATACACGTGTGGATCAGGCGAGTTGAAAAGATCAGCTTCTACAGTTTTGTTGTTGCTTCTCCAAACCCGCCATGCACTGAGCTTTTGATAAGCAGCAGCAACCTCCGTCATGCTAATACCGGTAGAATTTTTAGCTCCATCCAACACGAGTGCCGATGCAATGGAGGTGCTTGTGGCCCATTTGTAGAAGGGGTCGTTTGTTGTCGCAAACACGTTGGTTTCCCAACAACATGTACCTGTCTGTCTGATGAGATCAGAATAGAACTCACCTTCTGGCTTCTTTTTGTTCACACATAACGAGAAGACTACAGCTGTTGCAATTACAATGGCAAATATGAATACTGCAATGGCAACAATGCTCGACGTCTTCCATGGCTTCCTTTCCGCCATAAGTTCGCTAAACGAAAAAACAAAAAATGAAAGCTGTATCCTTCAAGGCTGTTAACAAGTCGAACGTATTGGCAAATTAAAGGAACATGGTAGTGGAGAATCTATTCAGTGCAACATGTCTTTCATCCTTACAATCATTTTGACCAACCGTGGCAGCAATAATGCAAATGATTCTTTCCACTGCCAGTGCCATCAGTTTTGGGTAATTTGAAAAGACAGTAATGCCTATGTGATTTGGAGGGACAACTTTTCCTCGATCTTGGATTAATGCATTTCTCCGGTACCTCCCAGAGGTGTCTGGCTTCGTCCCCATAAGTTCGCTCAAATAAAACATGGGCTCAGAATCAGGACTTGATTTCTTGTTAATACGGTAAATGAAGAGTGCTCGCGTGTCGAGGCGCTGGGAGCGGAAGATTGGGGCTTGACAATGGAGGAATTGGATCGCTTGGAGCATAACGCTGCTCAGCAAGTTGCGGCCAGGCGCAGCGCGGCTGCATTTGGTTTGCCACACGCCCAGAGCTGCTGGCCAGAAGCATGGATGGAAGAGCACCTCCACATCATGTTCCATCGCCAAAGAGAAGCTATTTCTCAAGGTGTCCAAGCAGCCCGATGAGAAAATCGGGTTATGATGAGGTGAGTGTTGTTTTTCTCTTTTTTTTTCCAGGCTTACAACATTGCTGTTATTCTGTTATACAGAGCTTGGTCGCGGCTTACAAAACTGTGGTTGGTCAAGAATGGGTGACAAACTTGCGGTTGTTTTGTTTTTTTTCCCGCTGAATGTATTTTTCGCAGTTTATGGACTTATCCAGAGCATCGACTGCCCGAAACTGACAAGAATTCCAGGTGTTGAAATTGATGTTAGCTTTCGTTTGTGTTTACGACCGTTTTTGTGTGTTAGGCAGATACAACTAGTTTACAAAGGAGCAATATATGTTGACTTTGAGGCATATATGTTGGATAGAAAGACGTAATTACATCCTTCTAAGTTGAATATGATACAGGTCGAGATTGTCATGGCACTGGAAGAGAAGTTCAAGATCCAAGTGGAGCAGGAGGGTGCTGAGACAGTCAAGGACGCAGCTGATGTGATCCATTATCCATAAGCTCATTTGTGAATAAAAATGTAAATTGTAATAGATACCAGTGTGGATCTGCAAATTGAGGTTCACATCCCATCAAAATAATGAGCTCAGCAAGCCACCTGCTCCAAATGAGCTGCAGGGGGGAGAGATGCTTTATCTTCTTCCCCCATTTCTTACCGAGAGCATTCGTATGAACGCAAAATATATCCAGAATATATCACCAAGTTCACACAACATTCATCACATTCATCGTCGCTATCATCGTCGTATATGAGCTCCTTCAACTCGCAGCCCTGTGCTTCCAGAATTGGAGCAGCACGAAGCGAGACAGCTTAGCACCGATTCAACAGCCACCCATGGCTGCGGCAAGTCGGCCTGTAAGCTCTTCCGGAAATCCCTATCTCGAACACCAACAGTCCCGTTTGCGATTGTTCTCAAAGTCCTTCCTACCCAAAAAAAACAAAACGTTGTTAGAGAATAAACAAAGAAAAAAAAAAAGGGAACAGACTAGACTAAACCAAAGAACTCTCTGAATAGAGAGAAAAAAGAAGAGAAAAGAAACTTGAGATCGAGACGCAGGATTGAAGATGGCAGTAAGTTTCGAAAGGAAAGATGATGCTATCAGACAGTGCTAGAATCGTGCAAAAGACTGTCACTCACTAGACTAAGCCGGAACGAAAGACGCAACGAACGGCACGCGCTCGCTTGGTGTTTGGATCGGACTCGACAGGAACTTCGTGAGCTTCTCAGCCTGTACTCGAAAGGTGGCAGCGGCGTTCTGCACTTGAGCGTGATGATACCCGCAATGGGTACTCCACGCCGACTCTGGAGCTCGACCAACCGGACGCTCTCGACCAGGCTCGAGAGCTCCACACAAGATTTTTCATTGGAGCTGCTGCAGCTGGAGAAGCTACTGCTCTCGTCAACATGTATGGGAGATGTGGGGAGCGTGAGCGATGCCAAGATCGTCTTGATGAGATGGAGCACAGGAAAATCACCCACTCGTTGAACCAGCAGTGCCTGGAAGCTCTTCGTTTCTTTCGCACCATGCTACTCGAAGGCGTCAGGCCCGATAGCTTTACGTTCCTCAAATCGCTGGAGAAGAAGTTGGCTATCAGTCGAGAAGAAGAGAAAGAAAGAAAAAACCAATGGAAAATTTACATCGGCTCCAGTGCGATGAGGAGCGTCGAAAATTGAAGTAGTGGAGTAGGCCGGACCGATAAACACTGCTTCATTGGCTCGATGGACGTGTAATACCGCCACCATTTTTAATCCCAGGCTATGCGCAGTCTTGATGATCCGGCACGCAATCTCGCCCCTGTTCGCGATGAGGATCAGATTTCTCCGCGGGAGGCGCTTGAGAGAAAGGATACCTTGCCTGTTGGATACTTATCTTGCTATCTGAATTAAGTTCCTCGCCGAGTAGTAAAAACATTCCCATTCGGCTCAACACTCAGCTGTTCATATCAGTCACAGAAAAATCTTTTTGCAATGTAGGTTGGGATGACTAAGGTTCGAATGATATAATGCCTCCCCTCCTTGTTGCTTTGGCCAAGAAAAACTCGCCATGAACCACCAAACTTTTGTGAAGGTTTGGTAGTCTCACTCTTTGCAGTTGGAAATGCCGAAGAGCTTACATTTCTCACTAATAAAAACGAACAAAATAAAAAAATTTCATATGAATGCGTGAACAACAAAATAGCAACAAATAACAAGATGTATAGTAAGGTGATTTTTTTCCCTCTATGTAAAGCTGCTAGAAAAATAAAAACAAACAAACAAGAAATGGAGTAATCCATAAAAAACTGAAAGCCCATGTTTTGTCTAACAGCAAACAAAAAACACTTGGCTCACAATCAATAACTTTTTGGAGTTAAATATAGTATTTTGATAGGATATTTGTTTAGATTTATTGACACAATGTGATTACCCATATGTGAAAAAAGCAGTGGTGATGAACATATTTAGAATATGTTTGGATATTTTACCATCTAACAGTTGTTATTTATTTGGATTAATCTTTTAAACATGTTTAGAATGCATAAACTTTCCTCAACACTTCCTAGTATATTTAGCTTGGTCAAACTTTGGGTGGTCAACTCCACACTCCTTATTAGACTTTTAGTTCATATATAGATTGTTAGCCTTTATTTTATATCCATTATGTTAGATTTGGACTTGAGCTCCATTTTAAACTCGAGTTCTGGCTCAAACATGGACACATGGGGTGAAAGCCCAAAATACTTGTTTCATTGAGGTGTGAGAGGTTGTGAAGGATAATGGGGGATGGGAGTGTAAGGTAATCATTCTATCATTTAAAAGTTGATATAAAATGGTTCATTGCTAATAGTAGATCATGGAAAAGGTCCCATAAGATCAAATGCCACAAACACAAACGGATGGGAAATTACAATTTACTTCAACTGTCCTTTCGTAGTACGAGGGAGAGTTTTACGAGCTTGACACCAAACATAGCTATGCACATATTAGATAATATCATATCGCATTTCTGGCCAATAGAAATACTTGTGCAGCTTCTTGGTCACACGACAATGTCCCATATGCCTATCTAGAGTAGGAGAATTATGGTAAACATGAAGAAACTGTAGAATAAATATTGAAGGCATCACTAGCCATAAATGATCATTAGGATTTGTTCTTACAAAATAAAGAGGGCCGTCTTCAAAGCGATATTGACAATGTAAATGCCGGAATGGCAAGTCATTAGCAAGTGATGCAAGATTTGTGAGACACAAAATCCCTAGGCCCCAAAGTGGAGCCGGAAAGGGTGCCACGTGGTAGTGGCTAAAGCGAGAGCCAAACGAGCGTAACACGTTTGGACCAAAAGCTCCGACTTGAAAAGTCAAGAGCGGGAGTGGAACTCCCAACGAAGTGCTCGAGGAACGAGCACGAAGCGAGCAAAAAGCGAGGCTCCAAAAAGGGACCCAAAAGGACCAACACATGACACGTGGAAGTGTCCGAGATGGACTCGAGTTGGAGTCCGAAGTGGAGTCCGAGATGGATTCGAGTTGGAGTCCGAAGTGGAGTCCGAGATGGACCCAAGATGGAGTCCGAGATGGAGTCCGAGATGGAGTCCGAGGTGGACCCGAGATGGACCCGAAATGGAGTCCGAGATGGAGTCCGAGATGGACCCGAGATGGAGTCCGAGATGGACCCGAAATGGAGTCCGAGATGGACCCGAGATGGAGTCCCAGACGGAGTCCGAAGTCGAGACCGAGACCGGGACCGAGACCGAGACCGAGACCGAGACCGAGATCGGGACCGAGACCGAGACCGAGGCCGAGGCCGAGACCGAGGCCGAGCCCGAGCCCGAGTCCGAGTCCGAGTCCGAGTCCGAGTCCGAGTCCGAGTCCGAGTCCGAAGCCTGAGAGGGTGAAAGCCCAAAGCGTTCGTCTCCCAGACCCTGGGGGGTTTGGTGAGCTCCAAAAGTATAGTAGGGGGGAGGACTGCAGTGGAGCCAGTTTGGCCAGGAAAGGCCAGTTTGGCCCAGGAAGGCCGGACCCAGTGTTGGGTGATGAGATGCCCACTGTGAAGTCCAAGACTGGAGTGAACACGGACCGACAAGCGGGGTAGCTTGGTGAAGTGTTCAAGAGCTGGCTCTAGTTCCCCCGGGAGATCGACTGGCCGATGCTCCCAGTCCAAGTGTGGGTGGCACTAGCTACTTGGATACCTGTCGTGGCTCAATGGAACCTCGCTCTAAGCCCATGGCTAGAGCACCTAAAGGCGGAAGGCGGGGAGAGTACCCAGGTGGCTCGCGTAAGGCCACGGTGTTCCGAAATGTTGTCCCAAAGGCCCAAACTGTAGAAAGGAAGAGGAGTAGTCCTCTGGGGTAGTGACCAGGGACACAGTTGTGTGGTGAGGAAGTCCCAGAGGACTGTGGGACTTAGTGGTCGGGCCTGTGGGTCTCGATCCAGTGGCAGTGTGGGCAAGCACGGCCAGGGGCAGAAAGGGACTTAGTGGGGACTGACAAAGGGATATTGGGGAAGGCTATTCCCCTTGTCGGTGGGCATCCTAAGGATGCTAAGGAGTGGATCTGAGATGACCACTCACGGATGGTTTGCCTAGTCTTGGAGAGCCAAGACTGTGATGCAAGTGGTATTGGACTACCAGTGTGGCAAAGGTGATTGGGCATGGCCTTAGCGTAACGGGTTGCTATGTCGGTGGTACCTTTGAGTGTCGGTCATGGGATCGGACACGTGGAGCACTTGGACCAAGTGCAAATGTTGAGTGGCATGGATGCCATTCTCAGGGCTAGCAAGTCCCAAGTCCTGGATTGGACTTATGGAGGTTGTGAATGAGACTCCTCCAAGTGGTCGGAGGTGGGGTTAAGTGACTAAAGTAGAATGGAAAATTTAGTCGCTTACAACTTGGTATCGGAGCTGTTCCTTAGTCCGACTTTTATTGGTGCTCAAGTATATCACCACTAGTGTTGGCATCGGAAGGTCCGAGGAGTGGGCCTATCCTTGAGGAGTAGCAAGTCGGCAAGACATGGCTCTCCATTACAGTTCATGTGTGAACTTGTAGACGAGGTGGTGGATAGAAAAGGGCCAATAATGGAACGACTTTGGGATCTTGGGAACAGTGCAAGGTTTTCCTCATTGAGTTGAGGAGGTGATCCAGATGAGCGTTTGACTCAGCAAACGGGTTAATGTAGTTGGGGTAAACAACTATAGTTGGGATCACGGGGAAGATAGAGACTCCAAAAACAATAAAGGAGTCACAAGTTTATCCTCACATGGTTGAGGCTGGTGCTCATGAAGGTGAAACCGGAATGGATGACCGTGAGAGGTCAAGTATGGATGAGGACACGAGTCCTCGAAATGGTAGTCGGGGCTACCTCTAATAAATGCTGGAACAACCCAAGGAGTTGGGGGTGTATTAAGTGGATGAGTTGGTATTCTCATCACATGGACAAGTAGTCCTAAGGGGCAAAGGTTGCCCCCAGAGAACAAAATCAAGTGTCGGAGTAACACTTATGAAAATAGTCCTTTTGAGTAGGACAGGAATGCAAGAAGTGTATTCCAGTGAGCTAGTGC